GGCTGAGGCAGGAGACTCGCTTGAGCCCAGGAGTTGGAGGTTGCTGTGAGCAGTGAAGCCATGGCACTCTACCCAGGGGGACAGCTTGAGGCTCTATCTCAAAAATAAATAAATAAATAAATAAAAATAGCTTGGCGTTGTGACGGATGCCTGTAGTCTCAGCTATTTGGGAGACTGAGGCGAGTGAATCGCTTAAGCCCAATGGTTTGTGTTTGCTGTGAGCTGTGACTCAAACCACAGCACTTTACTGAGAGCGTCGAAGTGAGACTCTGTTTCAAAAAAACCCCTCTGGTGGAAAAATTTGCCCCTCCCTCATAGAGATCTTTTCAAAGAAAAATTTTCCTTATGGGGCCTAGCACCATATGCAAGAATGTTTACAGTAGGGAAAACACCCAGACTCAGTCTAGGAAACAGGATGGATAAATGGACTTTTTTGCATGATCAAACATTATTTCCAGCCGGTTGAGGTGGCTCATGCCTGTAATCCTAGCACTCAGGGAGGCCAAGTGGGTGGATTGCCTCAGCTCACAGGTTTGAGACCAAACTAAGCTAGAGTGAGACCTCGTCTCTAAAAATAGTCTGGCATGGTGGTGGGCACCTATAGTCCCAGCTACTTGGGAGGCTGAGGCAAGACAATCGCTTAAGCCCAAGAGTTTGAGGTTGCTGTTAGCTGTGACCCCACAGCACTCTACCAAGGGCAGCATAGTGACACTCTGTCTCAAAAAATAGAAACATTATTTCCAGTCTGATAGTTCTCTGTTGCTAAGGCTACAGCAAGGGAATGAGGAAACTGTCACAATTTGCTCCAGAATTACCCCCCCTTCCATGATTCTACCTTTCTATGTGGCGCCCTCTATTTTGTCTGTGGGATTCAGCCCCAATTTCCTTGTGGAAACTACCTCACACATATATTCCAATAAATCAATCAATATGTTCACTTTTATCTCAGCTCTGCACAGAATTCTTCCTCCAACCTGCCCTTTTGCTGGGCCCCTCTGGAGATGGATGTTTCCTGGTTCTTGGCTCCTAGTGCCAAGAATGAGCAGTGGTGCCTAGTTGATGACAGAGTGACCACAAACACAAAGTAATCATGATCACATACTGTAGAACAGAAACAAACAAACTAGAATGGGAATAGGAGAATACATCTCAAGGAACAAGATAGGTCCATCTCCTTAAGTGGAGAAGAGACCTGGAAGTCTGCACACCATCTTTTACAGGCTCACTCAGCTGCCTAGTTTGTCCCACCATTCTCCTGACAGGATTGGCTGTTGCCTCTGGCCTTTGGAGTAACTGACAAGTTGGGGTTACGTATCAAACTTCTCAATACCCATAGGTCTTCCCTTGAACCTTCCTGAAGAACCCATGAGGGTCAAAATTTACATTTCTGTGATAATGTACTACCCAAAGCCCCAGGTCTGTGTAAGGTCACTGGGACCCTGCACTATTTGTACCCGAATGGAGAACAGACTGTGCCTTAACTTGGTTTCTATGCTCTGCCCCTAGCCAACCCCCCTCAGCCACTCGCCTTTGTCTTCATTCCTACCAGGATTACCCTCACCTGTCAAGGAGAGAAGCTGGGGGCCAAAAGGGCATATTCCCCCCCCAGCAGGAAGAAAGAGAGAAGCTAGGGTGGAGACAACACATCTTCCCTTCTCATGCACTGCAGCCCTGGAAAGCAGGCCACCATGACTGGGCCATGACTGGCTGTGGCCTCAGTTGCTCCTACTTGGCCTGGTGCAGAGCAGGAGGAGGTGACACCAAAACCAGGCCAGCACCACCCAACACTCTCAATTACGTTTCAGAAATAAGCTACTCCCCTGTTAACTGCCTTCTTTGGAAGAAATTAAAGAAAAAACATTTGACTTTTCTGATAACTACTTGTCAGTAAAATAGGTATCTGCAACTTTCAGTCAGCAGTCATGTTCAAGTTTAGATATCAACATTTCAAGAGAATTTAAAACGTCATAATTCATTTGCATCCAAAGGATGCCTTTCATCTTCCAATACCTGGTTCGGGATTTCCACTTCTGTTCCCCATTTCTTACAGCACATGTGGCTGCACCAGAGTCAAGGTGGCTTCAAATTCCAGGGCTGAAGCAATCCTTCTACTTCAGCCTCTATAGTAGCTAGGGCTACAGACACACTTCACCTCACCCAGCTAATTTTTTTACATTTTTACTTTTTTGAGGCAGCTATGGGGGGTTTGCTGTGTTATTCAGGCTAGTCTTGAACTCCTGGCCTCAACTGATCCTTGACCCTTTCACCTTGGTCTCCCAAAGTGCTGGGAGTACCTGGCCACATTCCTGGATTTTAAGGAATAAACCTTAACATTATGGATTAATTCCTTTATTCAACAGATTTTTATTGGTCATTAGAAATGCTCCCGTCACTTTTCTAAGCACTTGAGGAGATACATTAGTGAACAAAACTGACAAATTCCATGCCCTCCTTAGCCTTACATTTTAGTGGAGTGAGACAATAAATGGAAACCATAGTCAGAAAAATATACCTTAGGGGGGGTGCCTGCTGCTCAGAGGATCAGGGCACCCACCCCATATGCTGGAGGTGGCAGGTTCAAGTCCGACCCCAGCCAAAAACTGCAAAAAATAAAAAATATAGGCTCGGTGCCTGTGGCTCAAGGGGCTAAGGCGCCAGCCACATACACATAAGGTGGCGGGTTCGAATCCAGCCCAGGCCTGCCAAAACAACAATGATGGCTGCAACCAAAATATAGCCAAGCATTATGGCAGGCACCTATGGTCCCAGCTACTTGGGAGGCTGAGGCAGGAGACTCGCTTAAGCTCAGGAGTTGGAGGTTGCTGTGAGCTGTAATGCCACGGCACTCTACCCAGGGGGATAGCTTAAGGCTCTGTCTCAAAAAAAAAAAAAAAAACACAAATAAAAATATATATATACCTGGTGGCGCCTGTGGCTCAAAAGGGTAGGGCACTGGCCCCATATGCCAGAGGTGGCGGATTCAAACCCAGCCCCAGCCAAAAAAAAAAAAAAAAAAAAAGATATATAAATGATATATATAGATATATATCTATATATATCTTACATTCTAAGTAGGTAAGTGCTATGGAGCAATATATACTCATACACATGTTTATGTACATCACATCAGATCAATAGCTTAGGAAGCTTCTGGTGTGGAGGGAACATTTTTCAGGGGAATTTTTTCATGCATCTTCAGGTGGCGGTGGTATGTGGATGACTGGCGGTAGCTTCTGTGACAAAGGGAACATGTATAGGGCTTCTCTCCTGTGTGGATTCTCACATGAGCCCGCAGGTTGGTTTTGTGGCTGAAGGACTTTTCACACGTGGTGCATGCAAAAGGCCTTTCTCCTTTGTGAATTATCTGATGCACACGTAGGTCTGATGTCTGGAAGAAGCCTTTGTGACACTCAGAACAAACAAATGGCCTCTCATTCCTGTGTCTTCTCTGGTGGGCTAATAAGTGACAGAGATACTTAAAGATCTTGGGACATTCCTCACATTTATATGATTTGGGGGCTTCAGGGGATCTTTCTTGTTGTACCCCATATGTGGAGTTTCCCTCACTTCTCTGATTGACAGGGACAGACTCAGGGGCAGACTGGTCTGGCTTGGAGAGAAACCCTGTTCCCACTTCCATAGGGACATCTTGATAAAAGGATCCCTTTAGGGGCCCTTCCTGGGACCTGGAAATGCCCATCCCTGCTCTTCTCAAGTTATGTGGGTTCTCACAAAAGACATCTTCGTCTTCAGGCCTAGGACTATTCTCTTCCTGAATAATGAGTAGGGAAGACATCTGATTGCCTTGACTAGTACTGCCATTTACTTGAGTCGTTTTCCAAGAAATGTTGCAGCCACACTCTTTATCATCTTGTCCTGCGAAAATAAAGAAGTTACTCAATGAATTTGTACCCAAGAAGGTACTTAGGACATCTCTATGGTGTGCAGATTCACCTGACTCACCTTGTCCTGTTTCCAAGGGGGTATCGTGGGCAGTCTGGAACGGGACCTCCATGTTCTCTTCTGTTAGGGTTCTTGCTGACAACTGTTTTGTAAGATGTACAATGACTTCTTTCAAGGGCATATTCTCAGAAAAGAGAGCCTCTTGTCCCTGCATGCAGACGTGGACCTATGAACAAAGCCAGATCACCATTGTATCTGAATCTAATGTGTGACAGTAGTCTTTTCGGAAAACCTTCCCTCCACAGACTTTCACAAGCTCCCAACTATGAGATACCACATATTTTTGTCCTGTCCAAATCTCTGATAGTGTTATTCTTGTTATTTACAAGCTGTTGCTATGTTCTAAAATGTAAACACTGAATTTACAAATACTGAATCATTGCCCTAGGGAAACTACAGGGTTAGTTTCCTGGAGATTCTGGGCATAATACTTTCATCCACTGATCAATACATAACCTTGTTTTAGGTACCTATTTAAAGACTCCTTAATACATATTCTTGATTGATTAGCAATGACTGAACTCAGAGCCAAGAGCACTATAACTTGCCTGAATGAAACGTATCCAGCACATCTGTTATCCCCATATGGTATACAACAGTTTTTGTGTACTTGGGAAACTAGCACATCAGCATGATTCTTGGTTGTCAACAAAAAGCACAGAAGTATAAGAATGTGGCACTAAATATGCTGTGAGAAGGACACTTGTTTACATGCTGAGAGTGAAAATAAAATGTTAGGCCAGGTGTGGCAGCTCACACCTGTAATCCCAGCACTCTGAGAATCTCAGGCAGGAGGATCCCTTGAGCTAAGGAGTTCAAAACCAGCCTGAGCAAGAGTGAGACCTATGTCTACAAAAAATAGAAAAATTAGTCTAGCATTGTGGTTGATGCTTGTAGTCTCAGTTACTCAGGAGACTGAGGCAGGAGGATCGCTTGAATGTAGGAGTTTGAGGTTGCTGTAAGCTCAGCTGATACCATGGCACTGTAGCCTAGGCAAGGAGTGAGACTCTCAAAAATAATAATAATTAAGCAACCTCAAACTCTTGGGCTTAAGGGATTCTCTTACTTCACCCTCCCAAGTAGCTGGGGCTACAGGCGTCCGCCATAGCACCCCCCTATTTTTTGGTTGCACTTGTCATTGCTGTTTTAGCAGGTCTGGGCTGGGTTCGAACCCGCTGGCCTTGGTGCATGTGGCTGGTGCCATAACCACTGTGCTACGGGCACTGAGCCTCAGGTATTGATTTTGAGGTTACAAATAAATTTTAGCAATTTTGCAAATGTGGGTTCTGATCTCTGCTCAAATGTTAATTTCTCAGTCTGGCACTATACCATCTGAAATTAATTAACTTAAACAATATGTTTGCTCCTACATGTCCTACAGAATAAATAGATATACTTTTAGGGTTTTTTTGTGAGAACATAGAACAATGGAGATTCTCCTTGGTGAGAAAGAGTGATGGGAGGGTGTAATCCGACTAATAACTGGACCTATAAAAACTTCTTTCTCGTCAAGTGACTGCACATACTTTTTATTCCCCTCTTTCCCTCACCCCAGAGATCAGAACTTTGTACTTACTAAAACAGGCTCCTTCATGCAATCATCAGTCATATTCTCCATGAGTTTCTCCAGGTTTCTGCCACTTGATTCCCATTTCTCTTTCAGAGTAGACCTGTCATTACAATGTCCACTAATTACAAACTGTTCCAGGACCAATTGAGAAATAATTTCATCCTTGCTGTGCTTTTCTGGTTGCAGCCATGAATGAAAAAACTCGTAGATTTTTTGTAGTTCCTGCCTTGCATATGAGTTATTGCTGTTTTGAAATGAGTTGAGTTGAGTGCTTGAAAATGCAGAAATTCCTTCTCTGTTTCGGATAGCAAGTCTTCGGATTGGTTCAAACTCTAGATTTTCTGATCCAAAATCATTCCCAGATGGTTCACACTGAAATAAGGTTCTGGGATCTAAAGCCATTCTTAGCAAGATTTCTTAGAGAGTCAAAATTGATGCTTCACTTTCTGGTGTCTTATGTCTCTGGAGATCTGTTTCAACAATTAGTGGATTTTTAAAGACTACAAGATGGAAGTAGAAGAGACAGGTATTTAATTAATGCACCACTGGCATAATTAAAAGAAAATAAAATCAACCAAAACATCAGTCCTGGATTATTTTATGAATGAACTACACCAGACATTAAAGAAATAACTCTAATATTTGGGGGTAAGAGGGACTTCACCTAACAAATGCAATCAGTGTAACCTGGTTTCTTGTACCCTCAATGGATCCCCAACAATAAAAAAAAGAAAGAAAGAACTCTAATCTTACACAAACAATCTCAGAGAATAGAAGAGGGACTATTACCTATTTAGTTAGTGAGGTCAATCAATACTTTTATGATAACAAAATCTTGGAAGTACATGAGAATAACCCAAAGCAAAATATTTGAAATAAAACCTATTCATGTATAAGGAAAACAATACATCCCAAACCAGTGGCATTCATTTCCAAAATGCAAGGGAATTGGGTTAAAATTTAAAAATCGTGGCACAGTGGTGCCTATAAATCCTAGCACTCTGGGAGGCTGAGGTGGATGGATTGCTTGAGCTCAGGAGTTTGAGGTTGCTGTGAGCTGTGATGCCAACACACTCTACCGAGGGTGACAAGGTGAGACTCTGTCTAAAAGAAAAAAAAAAGAAATGGTAGATGACAATGTGAATTAGCATATTTTGAGTCAAATGATTTGGAAAAATAACAAATCCAATAACAAGAAAACTAATTAGTCCTACCTATTCTGAAGGCTGAGGTGGGAGAACTGTAAGCCCAGGAAACTGAAGTTGCATTGAGCTATCAGTACATTGCACTTTAGTCTGGGTGGCAGAGCAAGATCTTGTCTCTAAAAGATATTAAAACCTCAAATTATTGATTAATAAAAATCATAAAGGAAGCTCAGTGCCTGTAGCACAGTCGTTACGGTGCCAGCCACATGCACTGAGGCTGGAGGGTCTAAGCCCAGCCAAGCCAGCTAAACAACGACAACTGCAACAACAACAACAAAAGCCAGGCTTTGTGGCAGAAGCCTATAGCCCCAGCTACTTGGGAGGCTGAGGCAAGAGAATTGCTTCCAGGCGTCCTCAAACTACGGCCTGCGGGCCACATGCATCCCACCTAGGCCACATGCATCCCACCTAGGACATTTATCTGGCTCACTGGGCATTTTTGCCACCACTGCCTGCCCTGCTTAGCAGCCGACTCATCCCAGGGCCCGCAGTCCCGCCCTCCAACAGTCTGAGGGACAGTGAACTGGCTCCCTGTTTAGAAAGTTTGAGGATCCTTGGAAGTTGCTGTGAGTTATGACACTACAGCACTCTACTGAGGGTGACATAGTGAGACTCTGTCTCAAAAAAAAAAATCATAAAGTAATTTGGTTTTGAACTGTCTAGTGGTAGGAGGTGCTCTTTATAATCTTTTCTTTGAAACATTTAATCCTTGATTTAACTCACCAGCACTATGATTGCCATCACTCACTGATTTACCAAAAATTGGGTAAAATAAGTATCTTATTTGTCCTTTTTTTTGAGACAGAGCCTCAAGCTTTTGCCCTGGGTAGAGTGCGGTGGCATCACGGCTCACAGCAACCTCCAACTCCTGGGCTCAAGCAATCCTCTTGCCCCTGTCTCCCAAGTAGGTGGCACTACAGGTACCCGCCATAATGCCTGGCTATTTTTGGTTGCAGCCGTCATTGTTGTTTGGCGGGCCTGGGCAGGATTCAAACCCACCAGCTCAGGTGTATGTGGCTGCCACCTTAGCCTCTTGAACCACAGGTGCCGAGCCATCTTATTTGTTCTTATTAATCTTTCTTAAGCGTATGTATAGCTCATATTTAGGTATTTCGATGTTTGATAGTAGAGGTGTTTGGGGTCTTTATTGAGAAGTTTGATCTTGTTTTTGTGACCAGAAATATGCTGTAGGAACTTAACCTTGTTTGTATCAATTAGTCTATGGTCAAGTTGCTTGCGTTATGTGTCCTTTCACTTAATATGTGGGTTTCCAAGAACCTACCAATGATGGTAAGTGAGGGCTTACTGTGTTAATAAATATATGGAGAGGCTCAGCGCCTGTGGCTCAAGCAGCTAAGGTGCCAGCCACATACACCTGAGCTGGTCAATATTTTAAAAAATGTCAATTGACTTCAAATTCCTGTGTACGTTCAATGTAATCTCAAGGAAAATCCAGCAAGTGATTTTTCTTGTGTGTAAAAATTGACAAGTTGATAATAAGGGCAAATACAAACTAAAAATTAAAAACAAATTTTTGCAGGACACAACTATAACAGGATCTCTTCTTAACAAATGCAGACATTGTAACCTAATTGTACCTTCACATTAATCTCAAAAAAAAACCCCACATTTTAAAAATTCTCCTTGGTAAAACACAGGAAAGAAAAGACTCTTGGCCCTTCCTTTCCTCAGAGCATTAACTTTTTTTTTTTAGAGACAGAGTCTCACTTTATTGCCCTTGATAGAGTGCCATGGCGTCATGGCGTCACAGCTCACAGCAACCTCCAACTCCTGGGCTTAGGTGATTCTCTTCCCTCAGCCTCCCGAGTACCTGGGACTACAGGTGTCCACAACGCCCAGCTATTTTTTATTGCAGTTTGTCCAGCGACGGATTTGAACCCGCAACCCTCTGTATATGGGGCAGGCACCCTACTCACTGAGGCACCCTACTCACTGAGCCACAGGCGCTGCCCAGAGCATTTACTTTTTTCGAAAATAATTGTAGGGTGGTGCCTACAGTGGGTAGGGCACCGGTCCCATATACCGAGAGTGGTGGGTTCAAACCCAGCCCTGGCCAAACTGCACCAGGTGGTGGGCGCCTATAGTCCCAGCTACTCAGGGAGCTTGAGGCAAGAGAATCGCCTAAGCCCAGGAGTTGGAGGAGGTTGCTGTGAGCTGTGTGATG